CTAAACCCTAAACCCAAAACCCTAGCCCCTAAACCCTAAACCCTAAACCCTAAACCCTAAACCCTAAACCCTTTACTTTTAGGGGTTTCAAGACCAGGTGGCCGCTCCACGGAACGAGCTCCCGGCGTGCCCGGATGGGTTGTCGTTCTAGGCGAGTGTGCTGGTTCTGGGTTTAAGGTTTAGAGTTATGGGTTTTGGGTTTAAGTTTAGGGTTATGGGTGTGATTTAAGGCTCAGGGTTTTGGGTCTATCTGGTGTACTCAACTCAAGGCACTTGCAAACGATTGTTTTTGGAGGGTGTGCTTTCATAACCGACAGGGGAAGCTGTTGGTTTCGGCAAAGGGCCACAAGAATGCAATGCATGTCAGCAACAGCAAGACAAGTGTTAGCAGCTCACCATGGTATCGTTCGTGGTGGTATGGTCGATAGTCGCAGTAATAGAGTAATTGTTCTGGTAAGACTAATTATTAGTACTGGTCCGAACTTACAGAATACTCATGACAGCAGTCACAGGAAGCACGCGAACGGGCATTGATCTCCCACCTTGGGAAGAGTATCGTAGGTGCCGGTACCAATAGCAACAGTCGCAAGTGCGGGGCTAATTGCAAGCGTACCTGGCACTTCCGAAAGGAATCGGCCTAGAACCAAACGAAACGTTCGCAGCACAAGCAGCCAACGCAACTGGTATCCATCATTGAAAAAGTAGTCAGGCGAGGCGTCGCAGATACTAATTGCAGTCGCGCTGTGAAGGCGCCCTAAAGCCCGACCCCCCAACCCTAACCCCTAAACCCTAAACCTTAAACCCTAAACTCCCAAACCACAAACCCTAAAACCCCAAAGCCCCAAAAACACGACACCCTAAACCCCTAAACCTCCACGGGTTTCTCGGCTCAAAGTCTGGGCATTCCGCCGCGGTCGCGTTGCGCGCCTGCGCCTGCGCTGACGGATTCCTGAGGATGCCAAAAATGGTTGCTCTTAGGCAGTATGCTTGTTCTATAAGTTTAAGTGACCTTTGTTATATGCCGAGCCCTAGACCCTAAACTCCAAACTGCCAAAGAAACTCTCAACCCCCAAGCAACCCCTAAGCTCTATGTAAAGCCTAAACCCGAAACCCGTGACGCTGGTAGGGATGACCAGGGACCGCATATCTTGTTCTAGGAGGGTAGTTACCGTGATAGGGGTCTTATAGAAGGTCTATATACCTTATAGAAGCCTTATAGAAGCCCTATATACCCCCTGTAGTTTCCTTTAACTTGTACACCTCTTTTTGGCGTCCACTCAGGTTGCACGAATTCTTTAAGCCTCTGAAGGGAGGCCTGCGAATCAACGACAGCCCAGCGACTTGTGGCAGGCTGCATGTTTATATGTATGTTTGTATGCATGTATGTATGTATGTATGTAGATGGGTAGGAATGTTTGTACGTATGTATGTATGTATGTATGTATGTATGTATGTATGTATGTATGTATGTATGTAGGGAGGTAGGTAGGTAGGTAGGCAGTTAGTTAGGTAGTTAGGTAGTTAGGTAGTTAGGTAGTTAGGTAGTTAGGTATGTATGTATGTATGTATGTATGTATGTATGTATGTATGTATGTATGTATGTATGTATAGTATGTATGTATGTATGTATGTATGTATGTGACGTATGTGTGTAGGTATGTGTGTCCGTAGTCCTGTAGGTGTCTATGCCTCGATGTCTGGTTATGTGTATATGTCTGTGGTGTGTATGTATGTATGTATATATGTATGTATGTATGTATGTACGTATGTACGTATGTACGTATGTACGTACGTATGTATGTATGTATGTATGTATGTATGTATGTATGTATATATATACACACGATATATGTGTATATCCATACATGCCTCTATCCCAGTCTCTCTGTTTGGCCCTGTATCCATTTTCTGTCCATCGGTCTATCCTACTGTATACTATATAGTACTGTCGGGCCCCGACTGTCAGCATGCAGTGGTTCTCAAGTTTCGTTCCAGCTCGTCAATCCTGTCTTCTGCCCAGGGTTCCGCACTCTAGAGCTATGATGCAGTGTAGTTGTTCGTTGCATCGCCTCATACTGTTACTACATAATAAACAGTAGATATGTCCATACATACATATGTCTGTATGTGTGCATGCATGCTTGCTTACATATCTACATATGTATACACGCGCACATACAATGGCCCAAAGCCCTTAAGACGAAGGTCTAGTTTGGTTGAGGAGGTGCCCAAGTCTTGCCCGTCGTTGATTTTCCCGGCTTGCACTCGCCGGAGCCCCTGCGCGTCTGCCGGGCTCTTAGCCTCGTACATAGGCGTTTTTGTGTAGGGTTTTCGGTCTAGGTTGTTTTGTATGCGTGTTAGACTAAGTTTATGAAGATGTATTGGGTTTGTATTGCTGCTGTAGGGTTACATTCAGGCTTCTTGGGCTTTTGAACGGGCCATGAACTTTTTCACAGGGCTGTAAGGGTTCTTTAGGCTTGAAGGGCCAGGAGGAATATGGGAGTCTGAACGACGATTCGTAGGATCGCCTTATCGTCCTTCTATGACTACACGACACTGTGTCAGCATGTGTTTCTGATCATTAAGGCTGGCTTGGGGGTCCAAAAGCTCCCTAAACCCTAAACCCTAAACCCTAAACCCTGTGGATGCTGACTTTCGAAGTCGGCATTCGCAGTCGCCGGGCACTAGCTTGCATGGCAGCTTCGCTCTGCAATGCTGCAGCCTGCGCCCGCTACTGACTACAGTAGGGCTCTTTGGGGTATATTATATACGGGAAAGTAGGGTATAGTTATAATAAGAAAGCCGAAGCAATCGTATTAGCAAGTTGTTCAGGCTTCTCGATTAAACTGAGGTTTTGTTTATGCTTAACTTGCTTAACTGAAGTTACGGACAAGGGGTATGTAGTCAATCACAGACTTTCCTGATCGTTTCTGTCTATCAATGTAAACTGAGGCTCTCTTTTGAGCCACAGGAAGCATGAACTAGCCAAGTGGCATCTGCCTGGCACTCTAAAACCCCCCCCCCCTCTCCCCCCAAGCATGGAAGGCCCCAAGCAGTTCTAACCCTAAGCCCTAAACCCTAAACCGTGTGCACTTCTGCTGCATATTTCGGAGCTTTGGGCCAAAGATTCCAGGGTTCAGGTTTTGAAACCTAATACAGAAGCCTCAGCGAATACTAATAATTACCAATACTATTTTGAGTCGTTCCTTATTCTAATTATTATATATTATATCCCAAACCCTATTCTAATTATTACGGCCGCCATGGACCCCAAAACCCCATTAAAATTCGAATTATTCAAAAACCCTTCCTGGGAAGCTTGGAGTTTATGGGTGAAGGCCTCAAACCCTAAACCCTAAACCCTAAACCGCAAACCCTAAACCCCTCAATTATGAT